GAATTTCCGCCGAAACTCGTTTTATCAAGTTCTCTTTCAATCGAAGGGCTGCGGTCGTTTTTCACCGCGGGCTTTATCTCGTAATTCTTCTGATTACACAGAAAATGACTGGTAATAGCCAACCGTTGTGGAGCAGACTAGCAACAGGTACAAGGATTTGTACCATCCGGCGTCAATACGCCGACCCATTTCCGTTCCCGAGTCATCAATAGTGATTTCTCGGCAGGAAAAGTATTGACTAGTATTATTGTGTATGATCAGATTAACTAATCAAGGTAAATATGTATTGTTAATAATATTTAGAGTTGGGTCACTTTCGATATGAATTAATAGATTTGATATAATTTTGTAGAATACAAAAATTGTCATGATAAAAAAAGTAGGTTTTTAAAGATTGTGAAACAAAAATGACAAAAGTGACATTGATCATGTTTTAGTATTTTGACACTATAATTATAATTATAATTAATATACAAAAATCGACAACGATTATAGTCAGAGTCATCTGCAAACATATCGTTCCTTCAAAAGTGATACAAAAGAATTCAGTTTTCCAAAAATTATTAACTAATCAAATAACATTGATAAAAAGAATATACTCTTAAAAACATGATATCTTTGTCATTTTTGTTTTACAACTTTAAAAAAAAACCACTCTTTTTTAGTTGTAACAATTTTGATATCCTACAAAATTATAACAAATCTGAAATAATTCATTCAAAAATGACATGATCTTAACTCAAAACATTACCAATAGTTTATACTTACCTTGGTCAACTAAAATAACTAAATTCAAAATAAAATAATTTCTTCTTTAAACTTCGATCATTATAATTATCTCAATGCTAATGTTTTCTGTAGAAGAATCTCCTTTTTATTTACAAAAACAATTTTTATTTACAAAAACTTAAACTCTTGTGTCTCTCGTAAAATGTATTATGATCCTTTTGAAAACTTTAAAAAGTAAGAACGACACAAATACGATTAAAGAACGGATCATAAAGTTAAATTAGTTTACTTTTGATGATTGATAGAGATAATTTTTACCTAACTTATTTATGGTCATATATCAAAAATCACATTTTTTTTTAGTTGCGTCAGTTTTGAAGGGAATGATATAAGGCACCTTTTGTGCAAAGAGGAATTTTGCTACCTCTTTTAATCTTTTTATTTGACAATTTTTTTAAATAAGGCACTTTTTAAATATTTAAAAAAAATATTTTTAAAAAGGAAGCATAATTTTTAATTTTTGTTTCATGGTGCTAAAATTATTCGGTGTAGTACTAACATAACATTTACTTATAGTAAATAAATATTTACTAATCAGAAAAGAATCAGAAAAAAATGATAGTTAAATTAATGGATTTTATAGTAAATAAATATATATTTACATTTAATAAATATTCAGCTGATACTGTTTAAACAAATACTCATTAAAATTTAGTATATTTTTTTTCTCATAATTCGTATACCCAAGTGCTCAATTTGCACATCTAATTACGGCAACCCTGATTATAAGTTTATTCGACGTATCACAGATCTTATGAATAAAATATAATTTAGATTTTTCGGCAGCAAAATCAATGGACAGTTAAAGAAGGTACGTGTAATTTACAGAAAGAATGATTTTGCACTGAGAGAAAACGAAATAATTCTAGCAACTATAAATTTGGCAACTTTTGCAATTGAAGTACCTGTAACTAGTTTTACAAAGTAATAGAAACTAAAGTAGTGCTGAATGTTATAAAAATATAGTCACGGTAACAAATTGTATGCACTATTAATTGGTAGTGAAATAATGACTCAACTACATTGAGTAGTTACTTGGACTTCATGCAAATAGATATAACAATTACATTTTTCTAGTTTAGACAAAAATTTTTTTTTAATTAAACACTATATCATGTAACTAATTAATCATTGTTGAGGTAACTTCAAGGAATAATATATTATAATTAAAACTCTTTTCTCTAAAGTGTCCCTCAGTACGAGTAGTACGCGGCTTTGTCACCAGAGGGACGTAGCGGAGTTCAGTTTCTCCTAAGAAGGAAACCACTCAGCTTACAATAAAAGGTGCAGCGTTGGTTTCAAACTTGGAAGACAAAAATAAATAAGAAATGCATACACAAATTTGTATGCATTTCTTTAATAAGAACAATAAGTAAATTAAGTGAACTAAGAAAATATAGTAATATTAACCATTTATAAATTGATTATATGATTAATGTACTATATTTTCTTAGTTCACTTAATCTAGTATTCTTCTTAGAATTTAATAATATGTATATAGTTGAGGCGCTATTTCACTACAAATTTATAGTTACTGATACGACTTTTTTCTCTGAGTGTGCTAAAAGATTTAAAATTTTGCTGGATACAGATCCGAAAATAATGTTGTTAGAAACTCAAACTGATTGCTAGAGTATCAAAATGTTTTGCAGTATTACTCCTCACTTTTTAGTTTCTAATATAATTATTTTGATGGTCCAACAAAATTATTTTCCGTTTCAAAATTATTTGCTATATCCAGCAAAATTTTAGATTCTTCAGCAAAATCATTTTGTCTGTGTAAGGGATATCTAATGCTTTCCACACATTTCACTCGTTCCTTATTTCGTCAGATATGGTACAATCTGATCTGAACCGAAAGGGTGTTCTGGTCATAAATACGCTATCGGGAATGTTTCGAAATATGGTGGTTCGCGCCACATAACAAGTTCGATTGAAAGAGGTATCGATGCGGATTTTGCACAGACTTTTTCGTTAGACAATAAAACATCACTGCCGCAAGTAAATACGAAGAGAAAACCAGAAGCACCAGAACGAAGCGTACATTGCATAAATCCTAGCGTGGCCGTCGCGAAATTGAATACAGCGTTATAAGAAGATGGAATTCGAGGCGAAGATGAAGGAAAATTCTCAAGAATCAAGTGAGAGATGAGTGGGAGAGATTGGCCAGCGTTAAGGGATCATAATAAAGAGTTCGTAATAAAGAGGCTGTCTCTGCTGTGATAAGAACACGGCATTGTCGGAATGTTTCACGAGAATTAGTTGCAATTAAGGCGATTTACCAACAGGCGAGATTGCGCGTGGATGACCGTGCGAAATAGCGAAGACGGTAAACTTCCGAGTGTTACTACCTCCTCTAACAGCTCGCTTTGTCGCGCAGGGTGATAGCTCGGGGTGCACCTTACTTTATGATTATTTCATAATCCCAACGATGCACCTCGTACATCGCGAAAATAGTGGTTTAACGCTGTTGCTTTCGATAATTGCCTTGGATTCGCGTTGCAATTGTTTTGTTAACAAGGAATAGTCATAATTTTTTTTACGTAAACAATCACCTCGGATTTTTTTTCATTCCAATTAAAATCACTATTATTAACAACATATTGTATTTGAAAGCATATGGGTTTAATCGTAATTCTCTAAAAAAAGTAAATAGAAACCAAACAAACATTAAATGGAATAAGCACGTTAAATAGCTTAATACAATAGTATTTGTAATAAATAAAGATTTTAATTAATATAACGTTATTTAATTGAGAATTTTCGAGAGAATTGCATATTTAAAGAATGTGAAATCATGAAAAATAATTATTAAAAACAAAAAAATATGTTAAACAATATCCGTCTAAAATATTTTATAACAATTCACATTTTATAACAATTCAGTCGCTGTGATATAAAAATACCCCGGGTGACTATTTTCGGGTTAAAGAGGCTGCGTCACGCCAGCATTTACGAATAAAATTAAGATAATTTGCGAGATAAAGTCATACGCCACATTGCATAAATTTACGTGCATTATCATATAACAATTACAATAATAATATAACATGACATAATATAATGACATAATACAATATGATATAACATCATAATAAGCAGTAATATATTGATTGATAAAATTGTCCATTTCTTCTCCAATTTCTATTTTTACGTTTTCTATTTCATTTGTGAACACTATTGATCAATCGGTATTTCCTTTTTTTCATCGGTTATTGTATTATCCATGTAATCTATTCAGCGGTACGTAGCACGTGAAATGGGATTTTTCAAAATGCGCGGATTGGAAAAACAAAAGGCGTGATATCGGGCGATATCACACATGCCGGCGGTCAATACCACCCGTTTCGATAAAATGCAGCGCTTAAATCTTCATCGAACAATTCAAATGTCAAATACAATTACGTTATATATTAGCCTAATTTCTCTCAGGCTATATTAATTGGATAAATCCAATGATAAACGCTGAATTCAAAATAAACACTATATTGCATATTAGTAAATTATAACGTTTTGATTTCCACTGACCAATTCGAAATAATAAGTACGGATAAATATCAATTAATTTAATTTCTTCCCTTTGATTACACACAGACAAAGCCAGCGGTCATTACTATAACTTGTAACAAGTAATATAAGTTTACATTTAGTAAATATTTACTTGTAGTAAAGAAATGTTTACTTGGAGCTATTCAAGAAAAAAGTTACTTAGATTTAGAAATTTTTTTTTCAGTGTAATAATAAATTAATAATAGAGATTTGCTTGAAAATGTAACATCAATTTCTTACTTCAAAAATACACAACTAAAAAAATGATGTGACTTTTAAGAAAGTTACTATTTAAGTAAACATTATCCTATCAATCATCAAAAGTGAACTTAACTTCATAAAAAATCGTCAAAATCATCACAATTCGAAAGAGTGATTTTTTTAAGAATTGCAAAACAATAGTGACAAAAAAGGCTTTTGATCATGTTAAGAATATATTCTTTTTACCAATATTATTTGATTAGTGAATAATTTTCTATCAGGTTGAAAAATAGTTGTTTTGTCCTTCTTGGGAAATTTAATTTTTTGAGTATCACTTTTTAAGTATAGAAACGATATGAGCATGACACTTTCCAAGTGTCGAATACAAACGGAAACATTACAATCCGAAACTCTTTCTAACTTTACTGTAGCCTAAGATGGATAATAGAGCTGCCGCTCACCGTCAATGTCGATTTCCTGCAACATCGTTCTCAACTCCTCCGCTCTCGCAAATTGTCCCAAGGAACGCATAACCCTGCCGAGTTCTTCTTTCGTGATAGTTCCATCGCCGTCCTTGTCAAACAGCCTGAAGGCCTCCCTGAATTCTGTTGAAGAAAAGGAAAAGAAGAAACCAGCGTGAGTAGTTCCAATATAAATACGTTTCGCTTTCTGCACTGGAAATAACTAAAATTACTTCAACTTTCGCAGTCCCTGAAAAAATTGTACAGTGTAAATTGTTTCGCCGTTTATTCTCATTTATGATGTAATTTTAGAGCAATTTTTTCTAGTCTTCTACTTCTACATTAATTAAATTGGGCATTATGCGCTTTGAATTTTTCCCTTTAGCCGAATATCCGACCCGTTATGGCACTAACGTCAAGCGTCCTCTCTGGAATTACCCTTTCAGAGACGGTCACTGACGGAGGTTAACTGACTAAGGGTAGTGGTCGAATTCCCGGAGTGAATTTGACGAGATACGAGTACAAACTGGTGTGCGGGTTCGACTCAACGGTGCTTGACTCGATCGTTTAATGGCCTCGTTTCTCGCGCCGTTGATTCTGGCGGCGCATTATACGCGTATCCATGCACAATTGCTCGTACGAGGAAACTACGAGTCTCGATGTAATCGACGTGATCGCGTCTTACGCTTTTACAATCTTATTTACAGTCGCTACGCGAATTTTACCTCAGATGCATATCGCGTAAAACGAAGTTACATATTATCTTGAATTGCGGACGCGATTTCAGTGATCGCATTTGGCGCAGAAATCAACCGAGGCCGGAGAATTCAGATGGGAAGTAGAGAACGATTCTTCTTCTTTATCTACAGACTTCCACCCTAACAGGAATGGTACTGCTCTCGTCATCTCTGCTTCTTTCGTCTCATTTCGGTCCCCGTAGAACTTTCGAAAAAAGCTGCTACATAGGGTATTTTACATAGAGTTATAATATTAAATCAATTTTTTTTAAATTGACTATATAATAATTACTGTAATTTCTTTTCAAAAATTTTGGCTGTAGGAAAAAGAAACTTGGGACGAGAAATGAGTTTTATTTGAGTTTCTAGTAGCGACTGTAAATATCGAATCGAAATTATAGATATAATTTCAGAGTCGCATAGTTTTCACTTATCTGTTGAACCGTATCATATTTCAAAATGAGCAAGAATGCAAGCATTAGAATCGCATTACTGTAATTGACTTCGATAATATAATGTGGATTAGAATTTAACGTCGATCATGCTTCGATATTAGAGATTCGATTAATTAAATAATTTGAAATAGTATTTTTGAAAAATATTAAAACAAATTACAAAAATAATTGTGGTACATGAAATAGAAAAATCTTTATTTTAGTTTGTAAAGATTAATGCAAGGGAAGTAATCTTCACAATTAATTTTTATATAATTCATTTTACGTATCAAATTTGGTAGTAGCATGTGTTCCCTCTTTATTTCTGTTCTTTATCAATGATTCTACTGACAGTGTCAATTGATAAGACAACAGTATAGTGACACGATAGCTGCTTTAAGAGAAGTTCTTTTACGTCCTTTTACGTCCTTATACGAAGACAATAAAGACGTAACGATTTTTCAGAAGAAATTACGTTCGCCGAAGTACATATCATCAAAGTATACAAAGACACGTGATTTTCGTAGATATTTTCAACGAACACGATCTTAGAAGAAAAAACTCAGTAGAAAGAAAATAAAGAAAGTAAAAAAATGAATTTTTTATAATAAACCAAAGAACGAGATTTAATCTGTGCTAATTTAATGTAATTGTTTAATTTTATTCTCATAAATTTTGTGATTGCACTTTCAAATAAGTTTTAGGAAATATATTTAACGTGATGAAACTGAAGGATAATCGATCGCGCAGTATATAAAGTTACGCCGTTTATAACAAAGTTGAATACACAATCTTTGTTTATAGTTAGACGAGTTTCGTGAAAACTAAAATATATTTAAAGCGTAACTGATAAGTGCCTGTCTCAAACTGTATTAAAAATATTGATGAGCTCCTTTTTTCATCGGTATTGTACTGAAAAGAAGAACTTCATTCAGAGTTTGCGACTATGTAATGACATTGTACGTGTAATAAAAATTACCAGGAGATTGGTTATTCAGTTTCGTCGATAAATACATCTGAATTAATGTCATTTCGCACAAAACTCATGCTACGAAGTGGAAAAAAATATGAAATGGAAGAAAAAATTGTCTATTCGCATTTTCATGTTGGATTCTCTTAAAAAGAAATTGAAAGCATTTATTCTTTGATTAATCGGTTTTTCAGATTGGTTTCGATGATCTGCCATAGAACATTTACGTTTGGCTTAGCGAGAATAATTAAATGCAAAAAAATGGAAACGATGAGCACCACGAAATGTGAAACGATATTACAGGCATTACAATGCAATTTGTTTGACGTCAATTGAAGAGATCTCTATTCATTCGACCTGATGTGAGTGGAAATGTAATATTCAATAGCGATATTTATAAAACCAGAAAGAAAAACAAGTGCATGATGGACGACGCGTGCGAAAATAAAAAAAAAATGTTCGCACTAAAAAAAACGTTCGACGTCTGCATGACACCATGTACGCAAAACGTGAAATTATTTATCTCGCGTGCGGATTTGATCGATCAATTGGCCTGATTTCCGATTCTCGAACGTACACTTGTCGTGTACGACAGTGATAACGGCGGGGAAAAATAATGGCCGGTTGCAAAACTGTGAATGAAGCTCACATACGCCGCGGTGCGGCGGCATAGCGAGCATAGTTTTATCGGGATTAACGAAACGATGACACCAAACAGGAGATATCCCGTTTACCGGGCGTGCCAAATTGAATCCGGCGCCGTGGGCATCTCCATCATCCGGCATCTGACGCCGCGATCAAAAGAGTACAAATTTGCATTTCGGCATGTGAAACCTGATATCATAATATAATACGAGGTGATGAATACAGGAGAAAATAATTTTACTCGCACGTTGTAAACGAAAATTATTATCTTAATCATATTGTTTTAATATTATTAATCTATTACGTTCATATTTCACTGAAATGCCCTGGTTGCATGAGTATTTGTCCGAAAAATCCTTCTTCTAAAAAATTTTAGAATTTTTTTCATGTCTTGAGAAAAAATATTGGGAGATATTTTATAATAAGAATTTTTTATATTTAGTGTTATATTATTATGCGTTTTATTTTAAGGGGTCTTTTAGGGTTTTTGCACATCATGGAAAAAGACACTTTCAGTAAAATTATCATTAATTTTTCTGTTGGTAAATAAAAGTATTACTTATCGACATGTTTTTTGATTAGTTATAAGTGAATCCTAGAGATTTGCAAATTTTTTAATTGGATACTGGATGAATTTAGGAACTAAGTTGGATTAACAAATGAGATTTATTAAGTACCTTTAGTTTCAATTAACAGTAAGCATTTTATTGAAAGTATCTTTTTTCGTACACAAAGATCCTATAATCCCTTTACAGGATAGAATAGATAATAGGATAGAATAGATTATCCCTATGGATAGAATTAATTATGCGAGAAAAGTTACCTGTCTCGCTCGGAACGAATGAAGACTGTGATAGGTAAGCCTGATATTTCACATGTCGCGCGACGAGTTTTTCCGGGGCGTGCCAATTGGCCATCAGATGGAGACTTTCTGGAGCCCCCGAAAAACTTGTTCTCTCAATAGGCCAATCGGCCAAAAAACTTGCTGTACGACGAATGAAATATTAGCCTAAAGCCCAGATGAGATTCGTGGCGTACGGTTTGGATCACGTTAGAGAAAGAGAGAAAGAGATAAGCTTCTCTGTTGAGATAAAAATGTTTCATATTTATGACTATATTTGCATAATAAAATAATTATGGTTAAGAATTTCATTTTTATAGTTATTATTATAGTAGTTATTGCATTGCTATAATGTTAATAATAATAATTATATTTTTAATTCTATGTATCAAAAAATATATAGTTCGCACCGAAAATAACTTTAAATTATAGTATCAATTATATATTTTTTTGTATATAGAGCTATAAATATTTTAAAGATATTCATTAGCAGCAATAATATTAAATTGCTTATCAATTTAATTTGTATTATTACATGAAGAGAATTTTTTCTTAGAATTTACCCTGAAAATATGACAGTCCTGGGATAACATTGTATTTCGAAGAATTTTAATGTAAATCTCTTTCATTCGTTAATAAAACTACGATAAGGTATAAAATAAGTTTGATCAATTTTACTGAAGTGCATGGTAAAAATCTTTAAAATATTGTATTGTACCACATTACCGTTCAGGGTTAATGTGTACCACATTAACCCTGAAAATATATATATTGTAATACGTTATATTTTCAGAGTTTTTAAAAGAAAATTCTGTCTGTGTACGTATTCCCGTTTCAATCTATAAGGAATGCGTTTCAGGACCGACAAATAATTGGCAGTTTATTTAAAATGGAAATTGTAAAATTCACACAAAAATAATACTATTAAGCATTGTTCTATTACATCCGTTTCGACCAAATAAGATGTTTATTTATGTTGAATAAATAAAATCATTATTATTAATATTATAACAGTAACTATAAAAATAAAGCTCCTAATCGTAATTATTTTACCATGCAATTATAATCATAAGTATAAAACATTTTTCTCAGTGTGCATTTTTGCATTTTATTCTCTCTTTATTTTCTCTTTCTCTCTCCCTCTGTTCTTCCTATTTAATTTTCGATTCTAGTAATGCAATCAGATTGGAAAAAAAACACATCTATTGAGAAATCTCAACTCACCTTTCATCTGCGATTTCGATATAGGCGTCTTGCTGGACGAAGAGTGGCTCGCCGACGATCGTTTCGGTGAAGCCGGCAGGGACAGGAGAACGTTCGTGGAGAGAGGGGTTCTAACAGGCTCGTCAAGGATGGACGACGAGGACGCGGCCGTGTCCGTCGGCCGTGTTAGGGATAATTCTTGTGGTTCCTGCTGCAGTTGCCATAGTCGCCGGCGTTGCAGATTCGTAGGGACGTCGGCAGCGGAGCACGATCCCGCAGAAACGTAGATCGGCTGCATAGGTAGCGCAGACGTTGTCACGGCCATCGTCATCGACGCCCGCGGGGTACAGTCCAAAGGGCTGGTGCTCTCATGTCCCTCCGCGCCGTTTCCTACCGCGCCGCTGCTCTGTCTCGTCTGCAAGTAATCGCGGTCTGAAATGCATCTCTCCCACTCGTCCCGAGAAGTTGAATCGGTCGATACGAATTATTTAGATATTTGTTTATTATGTAGCTCCTTTTCAAACAAAAGCAATGAAACGAGTTTAAGAATGAATCGTCGCATGCGAAGTGTTGTATCTTAAAAACGTTTTCGTATGAAGAGAATGTTCTCATAAATGCTCCTCAACATAACCGAGTTTTATATTATATATGTCACAGTCAAAATGTTAACTCAGTAAAGTATACATTTACTGTAATCTGCTATAGCCAATGTATATATTTACTATACACTGACTGGTAAGTATACATTTACTAAAGTTAATATTTTTAATACTTTTATTGTGACATGACGTACACTGAGAAAAACAATTTTTGATATTTGTAATTATAATTACATTTTTGATATTTATGATTTTAATTGCATATTTGCATGTTACCGTAACTATAATTGTTATTAATAACATTTAAAAAAGCGATAATAATAATTATGGTAACATATAATTATATGTAATTACAAATACTAAAAATATATATTTTCCTCTCATAGTGTGAGCCTCTTAGGAGCAGATTGATATCTACGAAGTCTACGAAATAAGAATTAAAAAGAATTAATAAAGTTATGTATTGATCATGTGCTCTAGTACCAAAAATAAGAAGCTTACGAGAGTTAATCAGTTTAGTTTCTAAGAGGTCCACATATCAGAGAAAGTTAGAGGGACACAAGAGATTTTCCTTTTGCAAAAGTACTCTTGACTTTTTACCAAGCGCGCGTGATTTTTCCAAGTAGCTCTTCTAAGTCTCTGTTTTTTCAGCAAACATCTCTCTGCGCACGATACATTATCTTATACCAACATTTGACAAGCTTGATATAAAACTTTGCGTAGCTCCAAGGCTTTAAAAAGGACGTTGCGAGGATGTTTCAGAGAGACGTTTAAAAGGCTCGTTTTTTACATCGCTCTTTTGCGCTTCTCTTCTTTATAAGATTTTTTTAGGGTCGACTACTATAAGTGTTAACTTATAAATGTGTTGTTGAGCGACAGGCGAATTGCTCAAAGTAAAAGTACCTTAATATTTGATCTACACGTGTCAGACGCCGTTAGGCACGAAACTTCTAAGGCAGTGACACACACCCGACAGTATCCAGCCGAGCTCATTCCGTCGTTTCAGTGTCAAGCCTTATTAATTATTAAAATCTACTCGCACATAAAGTGTCAGCGTGCGGGAGAGACGCGATTTTAATTTCAAGAACGTGCTAATGCTGTTTGCTGAAATTTTTTAGCATTTATATATAATATTTCGATAAAGCGAGAAGATGTAAAGAGAAAGAAGGGGAGAAAAGAGAGATCTGTTAATCCTACTCCATTCGAGTGATTTTTTTTAACATAATTACTCGCACATGAGCTGTTTCTGATATTTCATTAACGTTATACCTCAATTTTCATTATTCTTTTCGACGATTCATAAATAAAGATTGGTAATACTCCATATATATCCTTTAAATAAATCCTTTAAATAAAAATAAATATAAAAAATTTTTTAATTGTGTGAAACAATTTGTGCTGAATGTAATAATATATACATGGAAAGAATGATTTTGCTAAAATATCTAAAAATTTAGTTAGTTACAGATTTAAAAATATTGTTTAGAGTATAAAAATAATTTTGTACGACGCTGTAACTAGTTGGTAGTATATTAAAACTTTTTGCGGCATTCTCATCAACGCTTAAACCTTAAACGATCTACATAATTATTTTGAAGGTCCAACAAAATCATTCCAACATATTTCCAACAAAATATGTGTTTTCTAAATTTTTAAATACTTCAGCAAAAAAAACTTGTTTTTGCCTAGATATAAACAGCTTAATATATTTAGTGAATTTGTAAGATTTCTTTAAAAGAAAAATTTTTGGCATTTGTGATCATTAATAGATATTTGCATAATTATGATTGTTTCATTATATTGTATAATGTGTATAATATAGTATATCTATAATATTAATAATTAGACGTATATAAGTCTAATTATTTCTACTAAAAAATATATATTATTGAGAGAGAGAGAGAGACAACTAAAAATGATTATAATTATAGTTATTATTAACATAAAAATAAATTACAATAATTTAATTATAATTTATAGTCATTCTTTGGGACGACTATTATATAGTCAACTATAAATTGTAATGTAATTAAATTATAGCAATTGTAATTGTTTTATGATAAAATAATTATAAAAAAACTATAATTATAATTTTTGGTTGCTAATTATATATGTATATTTGTTAATAGAATTATACACATATATAGTTATTATCTATTATTAAAATTATATTAAATATAGTAATTATAGTAAATTATAGTATTATTAAAATTATAGTAATAAATTATTACTAATAATCATAATTATGCTAGTGTAACATGAAATTGTCAGATTATAGCCACGGATTATAGTAAATTATGGTCATAAATACCAAAAACTTCTCTCAGTGGCAGGGTGTCCTGGACACCCCACGCGAGTAATGAAGGGTTAATGAGACAAGCTTGTCGATCGGCTCATCTCCTCGACACTTCGAATCTCTGCACCGAGATCCGCGATCTATCAGTTCGAGCCGCGTTCATTCCACGAATAAGGGCGCAAGTCGATTCAGATGGAGAGGCTGCGCTTCATTATCGCGAAAGTTCGCGAGACGTTAACGAGCGATTAACCGCGCCCACGAAAGAATGTAGTAGCACCCGCGCAATCCATCATTTAAATGAGGGAGCATCGTAAGCGCGGTGTCACTTGGCGGCTCGATATGACGGGTGAAAATGCACAGACGTCATTTCCCGTTTTATTCACTTCTGTATCCAGCAAAGGAGGGGAAAGAGCGGAGGAATGAGATCTGGCAATAACCCGTCAGCGAAACTACGGCGGTCCATTGAATCGCCGCGCGCCAATCGTCGGAATTGCGATACTAGTTTGCGATCCGAGTAAGAAGTATCTCAATCCCAAGCGAAAGCGGCGGAATAGTGCTGAAGCGTGCTGAAAGCACGCAGCGTGAGCTTTAGTCGGCAATGAACATCGTTATCGGGACGTCGAAACGATAAACTCTGCGCGGGATGTTAAATTATACAACTTGTACTCGTACTCATCTCAATGGCGAGGGAAAATCACCTCCTCGATTACGTCGTTCGTTGACGAACGCGTTCCGTTCGCGTAACCGGAGTCGTCGATAAGATTCACGTAGAGGGAAAGAACGAGAGAGAACTAAGACTTGTTCTCGGAGTTTATAATTGAGGACGAGCACGCGACAAATTGGGAGGCAAATAGCGAACTTAAGGCGCACCTTGTCTTATTTTCCGCCTTATCTCCTCTCCGACGCCTCCGGCAGATCTCGGCGAAGCTACACCCGGCCGAGCGAAACACGTCGCTCGTAACACGAGAACTCGCGTAGACGCGCGGTATCACCGGGGAACACATTTGCATTCCCGGGAAGTCGCTCTTAAGGTCAAAATGCATTTAGGTTCTTTTGGGTGGAGAACGTCGGAATTGGTGCGACGTACCGAGACAGACATCTGACTGTCTTCCCTTAACTGGAGTCACGAAGGAGTGGAGGCGAGAAACTTCCGACAGCGACGGTTCGACGAAGCGAATCAAATTCGAGGGCGCCGTGAACGTTGCGCGCTACCTGTTTAATCAAATTCTGAGGGGGTTTCTCAGATAGCGAGAGAAAGGAAGAGAAAAAGAGGGACGAATGCTACCAACCGGTGAGGGTGGATTACGGCGGTTGTGCGCCACAGGCGAAAGTTTTAGCGTCGAAACCGCGCGAGAGAGAAAGTTTCCTCGGACGTCCGGTAATAAAAGCTCGGGTACTCGGATGAAGAAGAAACTTTCCCGGAAGTTCCCGGCTCCTTTCCACGGTTTTCTCCGGGCACGACGGCCGAGCCGTGACAAAATTGAATCCTCGTTAAAGCGTTGTCATGCGCATGTTTCGTCGATCGACATCGACACTTTCATGTCGTCCGGCCTCCCTTCCTTCCCTCCTCTCTTCTCTCCTTCTTACCAATTTAAATTACATTTCATTACAAACCTTTGTAACTGCGATGGTAGGGTAACGGGCATTATTTGTTCCACGGAGAAACTTTGCATTAGAGGCGAAACCCCGGATTGCCGCATTCAAAAAGAAAACATAGCGGTGGCAACTATGTAGGTGACAACTATAGAAATTTTATATTTGTGAAATTAATGTACAATAATATTATATATATATATACGTATAATTAAATAAACTATTTTATAGTTATAATAAGTATAAAATAGTTACAATGATAATAGTTCAACTACACAGCTAGCTAAGAATAACTATTTTATAAAGCTGTAAAACAGTTGCAATAACTATAAAATAATTTATTTAATCATTATTATATATAAATTAATAAATAAACTTAATATATACTACTTTGATTTTTAAGAACAACATTATATATATAAGGTTAATTATTATATTCACTTCATGCATTAAGATATTAAATAAAAATTCGTACGTGTACAAAGCGAATTTACTCTACTATGCATAGATTAATGGAGCGTATTTAGCTGTAAAAATGCTGTTAAAAAGATCCATGATGAGCAAATTATTATAAATACGTGCTAGAAGATATTCTTTTTATTCTGCATCTTCTCGCAAAAATATGTTACCGTACAAAAGGCGTTAATATCTTTTGTTCCATGCTCGTTTCTTTTGGCCTTTTAATATTTCACTTTATTAATTCTACATAATATTGTAGAAGAGGTTGATGATGAACGATAATTTAAAATATAATAAATTATGATCATCTATATCTTTGCGTACAATTTTTATTGTACGCAAAGATATAGATGATCATAATTTATTCCGAATATATTTACATGATTATGTAGTGAACGAAATCTTTTACCTAAGAGGCTCGTCTCATGCGATTACAAATCAAGAATCGGCTCTCCAATAATTAAACAT